ATGCGAACCTTGGGTCTGGGCCAATACACATTGAAGCTGTACCGTATAAGCAAGTGCGATGGAAAAGTTGAGAACTTTGACATATCTACCCTGCCGCAATACAAACTTGAACTACCATCATTACTTACTGGAGAAAGTGAATTGAACGGTAAGTGAAAAGCTTAAATCAATATGTATTCGATATAAAACTTTAGTGTTACTGGATGGCTTCGCGGGGTGCTACTTTTCAAACCCTTACTTTAGCGCCAATATTTTGACTCTAATAATGCGTGGCTTCACACTAGAATCAAGTTTTGCGTAGTAAAATTTCAAGTAAAATTTTGCAAAGCAATTTTCTTTTACTTAGGCCTTCACATTAGAATTCGAGCGAGAAAATTTTTTACTTAATGGTCTGAGGTGCTGACAGATAGAGGAAACGTGATGCAACATGAGAATTGTACGACTTGAATTGAAAATGGATCGCAGAAAGTATTTTGCATTTGTTGCAGTGTTTTTAACTCGTGGGTACGCGCGAGCGTACCACGAGTTATTGCAGGGACTGAGATATGCAAATGAGTCACTCACTCACTCGTAGTAGACGCACTTCGTAATTAATCGGGTCCGAACTCGAGAGCGCGAAGATCTATCGTTTCCAAAGAAGCACGCGCTCGCCGAAGTTCGGTAGCATCAAATTCCTCGCTGCGAGCGTGCATCGTGCGCTAGAGCACGATTAGGATAGAGGTCTTACCAAATTTAAGACAGGCAGGAATCTTTCAAATTAGTACGATTCAAAAGCATTTGACCCGTCCAGGCGTTAAACTTGACAAGAAGATGAGCATTTGCTCTTCGACTCCTTCAACTTCGACGCTGGCTTGATCTCCTACCTTGTAGTGCTGTAGTAGGTTATGCGTATGAATGAATTTATGGTGGTCAGTATAAAACACGGACTGCGGACTACGGACTGCAGACTGGATGTAAAATATGGAATATAAAATACGGACTGGTGAAATGTACGGTAAATAAAGGCACTTCTTCTTCTTCTTCTTCTTCTTCTTCTTAAGGACTCCCCAAGATCACGGAGGGAAATGGATGTGAGTTTGAGCATTACCTTTTTAAAATAACAACGGAAATCGAGATAAGAAAACATAAGCAATAACGTTTTGCGTCCTACTTCGCGGAGGAGTTGTGTCGGCTTTGTATCGCATATGTTCTTTGATTGCCATGAAATGCGTTTACATTGTTTTTTACTGTCAGTAGCCTGGTTTCAATTAGCCTTAATTTCATCCCATTGCTTCGAGTCGTTTTTATGGCTCGATCGTTAGCCCCGGTCGTTTGCCGGCGGAAGTTCCATGGAAAAGGCATTAACTCTGAGACTTTTCGTCAAATCATGGAACCATCCTCAATGGCGTAGTGGTTATGTGAGGTCGGGTCAAACCGAAGGTACCGGATTCAAATCCTGCTAAGGACCTTCTTATTCCCTTCTTCCTTTTTTTTTTCTTTTTTGTTTGTCTTGTTTGCTTATTTGTTTTGCTGTTTTTTTTGTTTTGTTTTTAAATATATACTTAAATAACTGTTACTAAAGTGCTATAAACAGCAAGAAAAGTATTGTGTTTCCAGAACAAGGATACCATATTTATAATATGAATTTCTATCATTTCCTAAAATTCACTGTGGGAAAACCAGAGGTGATAACTAATTGATTATTTTCTAAACAACGTACCCACGAGTTGACGATAGTCTTTCTTTGATTTTGTTTTTGCTTTATATCGGTAGTGTAGATGATGTCATGTGTAATGTAGAAGATGTACGCAGAATATGAGGCGAAAACACTACCAAATAATAAATAGCAAAACATGGTATTTACAAAACAAATACTTTAGCCGGCATGCTTGGAATGACTTCCCTTGTGATTATTTTCGCTGTATTTTTGAGAAGTAAAAGGAGTTTTATTCAGCCAATGAGGCTTATGTCCTTACAAATAAGGAAGATGCGACGAAATGTTTTAAATAATTCTGTCAAGCGCAAGACTACATATTCTCGGTTTTCACATGACGTCATCAAAATTCAAACTAAGAAACTATCGATTCTTCTGAGATTCTGAGTTTCATGAGTTATTACAGCACCTAAACACCTTTATTTAAACAGAGGTTTGGTTCGAAAGGGTTCTTCGTTTTGCGATAGAGGATTTCTAGGCTTTTGCGTGACGCGGCATTTAGCTGGCGGCCGGGACTGCTCTTCTGTGGGTTAAAAACATTACCAGTTTTGGAGATTTGCTATCTAAACATTCCTTCTGTCAGTATAAATATCACTTTAATAGTTTATGAGTTTTTTAAGCGATGAATTAACGCATTAGTAGGAAAACTCAAAACAGATGTTTCTGTTGGTTTCCGGCGGCCATATTTGTGCCCCTCAAAGGGACACAAACATGGCGCCTCCATACAAAACTTTATAAATTTGGGTAAAACGTTTTTCCTAATATCTCGCATATGAAATATCGCACAGACCTGATTCTTGGCAAGGTCTTTTGCTTATTTATCTTCTTTTATTTCCAAGATTCGGGACTTTCTGTATCGAATGGTTTGCAATTTTATTTTTGATTGCGTGACAGTGAAAACCGAGAATATGTAGGCTTATCCAAGACCACAATTCTGGTTTAAGGACCTGGCCGAAGAAATGGAGAATCCAGTGGGGTCGGTGGGATTGTAAATCGAAAGAAATGACTATTGAAATCGTTTCCCATTTTGAATTTCTCAAGCTCAACCACGAGGGAATTGTCTGGAAAATAACATCACCAGATTATTTGGCAGGCGTCTGTCAAGACGCGCGACCCGATTGGCTGCGGTGTTTATCAGGACAAGTTTAAGATACCATCTCGCGAGGTAGTATAACTGTGCGTGAATTTCCGCTCGCAAAGTCGAGAAAATCCCTTGTTTTTGCTTGTGAAAACAGCTTGCATTTTTAACTAGCTAAAACCAAGACGAGGTTGCTGGCGACGGATGTGATGCACAGAATGATGGTACTGGACGATGCTGTAGTTTTATACAAGCTCATGGTATTTAATGCTGCATTTGTCACAGACGCAGCTGCAGGAAAAGTAAAAGTAGTAGTTAGCAAGAGTGGAACTTTGTCCTTTCTTTATCATTTGGGGCTTATTTATGACAGTTTTGGAATTACATGTAAAGGAAGCACTCCTGCGCAAATGACTCCAGAATTGGTGGTGTCGAATGTACGTAAAGTACAGCAATACTTTCAATCGACAGTGCGCAAAGTCAAGGAAAGTAATCAACTAAAGGAAGATGCGTCGACAAATGGTCCTCAAGGAACTGTTTCCAAAAAAACGCAGATCTCAATTGAGCTTTTGTTGAAAGGTATGACCAATCTTATGATAAATCTCGAAAAAGTAAATCCAGAATTCAAGTACAACGTTGTTTTCAAAACATTGTTAACAACTGAAGTAGAAAATCTGCATGCAGTGTCACACTTTAAGAATGAGACATTTAGTACTCTTCAATACGCCATGGACTTTGGCACTAAATCAAAAGAATCTCTTAAACGAGTTTCTAAATGGGCGGCAAAGTACTTCACCCATTCAACGTCCTATTATCCAGTTCCCCAAACAGGAATGTTGCTCGGTGACATCAAGTTTATGTCGCCACTCCCATCCAAGACGCTTCCCAATAGGGAGGAAGATGCAATGCGGAGATGGGTTGACAACTTTCGCCCTATGAGGCAAAGAACTGTCCGATCTGAGACCACAAAGGATAAAGCGGGAGCTTTGCCTCCTACCGTCTATACAAAGCGAGCCGATTCTATAACAAGAGTATTCTTGAGACGTGATCAAGAAATAAGCGCAGATCTTCCAGATAAGACAAGGCTGAAGGCCCGAATGTACCCGTGCCTAAGGGCGTATCTTTAATCAGCTTTGTTGATGATTGTACCATCGAAGTTGTCCACGCAACTCAGTCAACTCAGGTATCCAACTCAGATTGTGATTTCGGCGAGGAATATGAAACGGACTCAGACGATAGTTTGTTTTCCGATGACGAACCTGATTATGTAACAAACAAGCCAGTAATAACAAGACCGGGAAGACAAGTCAAGGCCTGGGCAAAGTTTGATGTTTAATCACCGTTAGAAATGTAAATACCTATTTCGTTGTGCCCATAGTTAAAACTCATAAGAATGCAAACATAGTTAGTAGAGGGAGACTGCTAAACTATGATGGAAACAATGAAAAAAAGCAAATAGCTCTCAGATGCTCAAAAAATAACATGAACAAAAATAATTCATTGTCTTAATTCTGACATTCGTTTTTACTGTTTAGCACCACTTTGCCAAAATACATGTTTTTGTTGTTTTCCTTGGCTGTTTTTCTCGGGGCCTTCAACATGCATTGCAGGAGACGTGTTTTTTATAAAAATTGCATTTCTACTACTTTTTTGTGCCTGGAACCTGATTAGACTGGCTAGATTTGCTTTTTCATTATTTCAGGGGTCAGTATCGTCAGTGCCCCCGATTATCAATGCCACTCCTTAGAAAGGGGGGACAATATTTGCTGTTGTTGTGAATTTTTGAACAGTAATACGTGTATGCTAATCTTAGTTAACCGTGCCGAAGAAAAATTAAGCGTGCACCGTGAAATCGCGAAATTTTTAACCGTGTACCGTGTTTGTTACACCCCCATTGAGACCCTCTACTTTGGGACACTGGGGCCCAGGTGTATTAAGAAGGAATTTCCCTGGGATCACTGTTAAGAACATATCAGAGTTGTTAAATTCTGAACTGAACGTGACCACAGCCAATGGTGGTGAGATGCCATACGTAGGATGGATGGAGCTTAACTTCAGGCTGTTGTCGTCTAAGGTGGAATTGGCAGTTCCCTTTCTTGTTACAGACCAATCATTGGACACGCCAATAATCGGCTTTAATGTGATTGAGGAGATTGTTAAAACCAGTAGTGAGGATGCTGTGCTACATCAAGAAAATACTTCAAGTTTTACTAAGTTAAATGGTAAAAATGCTTCAGCATTAGTGAATTTTATCCAAAGCCGTAATCAAAGTGATCTCTCCTTTAACTCCCAGACAAAGTCAAAGTGTGACTTGCAGGGCAAACACAGGTCCTGTAGAGAGAACTACTCCAGTACTGTTTGAACCGGATGAGTCTAACCCATGGCCTAGCAGGCTGGAGATTACAGAGACTTTGTTGACTGTAAAGAAAGGGAATTCACGTAAAGTGGAAATTGACATTGTTAACAATACCAACCATGATATCAGACGTCCGGGACGAACCTTACTCGGGTGACTACAACTTGTACAATCAGTTACACCAGTAGAAGTTAGGTTAAAGGACTCAAATGGGAACATGAAAGCACCTGATGAAGAGAGTACAGAGGCAAAAGTTGCTGATCAGGCTACAACATGTACTGGAAACGCCGAAGGCCCACCGCTTATACCCCCACCAGCTAAAGAACCTTTGAGTACTCCATCACACATAAAGGAAATAGACCTAAGTGGTCTCAATGCCCATCAGAAGGACTTGGCACTTAAATTACTTACCAAGGAAGCAGATTCATTTGCAAGGGATGACAGTAATGTTCGCTGTATCAGAGACCTTGAGGATCAAACCCCTGTTCAGAAGAACTATGTGGCAGTGCCAAAACCACTATACCCAGAGGTAAAGGCTTATATTGAAAATTTATTAAACCGTTATTTCATCCGAAAGTCCTCCTCGTCCTACAGTTCACCGGTTGTTTGTCATCAGTCAGAAGGAAGGACCAAACTTTGTGGCTATGCGTGGATTACAGAGCATTGAACAAGAAAACGCGACCTGATCGCCACCCGATACCGACGATACAAGAGACTTTAGATAATCTTGGTGAGAACTCTTGGTTTTCAGTACTAGACCAGGGCAAAGCTTACCACAGGATTCATGAGCGCTAAAAGTCAACCTCATACAGCATTTGTCACTCCATGGGGTCTATACGAATGGGTACGGATCCCATTCGGACCGAGGGGCTTTCCAACGATTTATGGAGAACTGTCTAGGAGACTTACGAGATACTGTTTGTATACCTTATCTGGACGATATAATCATATTCAGTGCGTCATTTGAGGAACATGTTGAACATACACGCAAAGTCCTGCGTCGGCTGCGAGAGCATGGAGTTAAACTCAAACCGCGGAAGTATAAACTGTTCAAAAAAGAAGTTGTATTTCTTGGACGCGTGGTGTCTGAGGAGGGCTACAAGCTAGACCCCTCCAGTATCAAGCCAGTGCTTTCTCTCAGAGAATCATCTTCAAAGACAATTAATGAAGTGCGCAAACGTACGGGGTTCTTAAACTACTATCGTCGGTATATAAAGAACTTCTCAAAAATTGCAAAACCAATCTATGATTTAGTCAACATAACAGATCACCCTTCTGAAAAGTCCATGAGAGAAAAACCAAGACAAGGCAAGAGGAACCCTTCACAGTTACCGCCAAGGCACCCAGTTGTCTGGACCAGCTCTCACCAATCCGCACTAGATAAACTTGTTGATTGTCTAGCTGACGAGTGCTCCAGTCATGGCCTACCCAAACTTTGAGAAACCGTTTGTCCTTCATACGGATGCCTCTAAGGATGGACTTGGTGCTGTGCTGTACCAACACCGAAATGATATCCTTCGCGTTGTTGCTTATGGGTCACGCACTTTGACTCCTGCCGAGAAGAATTACCACTTACCTTCTGGAAAGTTGGAGTTCCTTGCACTAAAATGGGCCATCTGTGACCAGTTTAGAGATTATCTTTATTACGCCCCAAGCTTCAAAGTGTACACAGATAATAATCCGCCTACTTATGTCCTGTCTTCGGCATAACTTAACGCCACAGGCCTTCGCTGGATAGGTGACTTGGCTGATTTTAATTTCACAATTCACTACCGACATGGAAAAGCGACCATTGATGTTGATATGGCGCTTGATGATATTGCTTATATGGAGTCGTGCACAGAGGTTATACCGCATGAAGTCCTCCAGACTGTCGTGTGAATTGGAACTGAGCTCTTTCAGGAGACCCTACACTCGAATCAGGTATGTATGATGGAGGAAAACCTAGTGTACCGCAACTTTACGTTAAAAAAGCATAAACTGCGGATTCAGTCATCAATCGAGTAAGAGAGTTGATTCAGTGTGGATTGCGCCCAACGACAGCCGAGAGGAAGAAAGAGCCAAGGGATGTGCAGCTGCTCCTTCATGAATGGAATAGCCTGTCAGTTGACAAGGATGGGATACTACAACGGTGTACAAGAAGTCGTACTCAAATCATCATTCCAAAAAAACTGCGCTCACTAATTCTTAAGGAGTTGCATGAGAAAATGGGTCATCTCGGAGCGGATCGCACTTTACACCTAGCCAGAGGGCGCTTCTATTGGCCACTCATGCAGAGCGACATTTAGCACTATATTGGGCATGTCTGTCAAAGTGTTAAACGTAAACCTCCCACTCTCAAGATCAGGACTCCATTACAACCCATCACCACTACTGCACCGTTCGAAGTGATTGCTATCGACTTTCTCCATCTGGAGAAGAGCAGTGGAGGGTACGAAGATATTCTTGTTGTGATGGACCATTTTACTCGCTACGCGCAAGCTTATGCTACAAAGAACAAGTCAGCCAGAAAAGTCGCTCAGAAGCTTTACAATGATTTCGTTCTTCGATTCGGCTTTCCTTTGACCATTCACCATGACCAGGGAGGAGGGTTCGAAAATCGCCTTCACCGAGAGGTAGAGAAGTTGTGGGGCGTGGAACACTCCCGCACCAACCGTTATCATCCACAAGGGGACGGACACGTTGAACGATGCAACCGCACTTTGTGGAATATGCTTCGCACCCTACCAGAGACACAGAAATCACGGTGGGCAGATCACCTTAATCAAGTCGTACATGCATATAATTGCACGAAGAACGAGACTACTGGCTTCTCTCCTTTTTATCTGCTATTTGGCCGCCGCCCTCGTCTGCCAATTGATCTGCTCTTTGGCATTGACAGGACAGGTAACCAAGGCAGCCATACTCAATATGCAGCGCAGTGGCAGAAGGCAATGTCAGAGGCCTATGAACTAGCAAGCAAAACGAAGGGAGCGACAGAGCCAAACAACGCTATGATCATCATGTCCGAAGTTCAGTGATGCAACCCGGAGATAGAGTGCTTGTGCGGAATTTAAGCGAACGGGGCGGCGCAGGTAAACCTCGCTCGCACCGAATTCATGTGGTGGTTAGTCGTAAAGGTGAGGACAGTCCAGTCTATGAGGTCAAACCTGAGACCGGTCCTGGTGGGACACGAATTCTACACAGAAACTTGTTGCTGCCATGCAACCATCTCCCAGTAGATGTTGCGAGTAAGACCCCTCACAGACAGAAGTCTCGGAAAGAAATTATGAGAGAGAAAAATCACGCGCCTACAACACTTGTGGAAGAGTCGTCAGAAGACGAAAGTGAGCATTACTAGTTAGAACCTGAACGGCCACCAGGACCGCAAACCATTTCGCGGAGTCAGTCTCTGAGGATATTGCCTGGGAATCAGCGACCGTCTCAGACAGAGGAGAGGGAGAAGACGGTTGCTCGGCAGATGAAGAGCAGGAACATCACCCCCCTGTAGAGGAGACATCACCCCTCCCTGAAGCAAGTGAGAATGAGGCAGGACCATCGACCCCTGGTAACACTAGTCAGGAACGCACCTCTGTAGCAGAGTCTAGATCTCAGCGTGACAGACGTCCCCCAACGGTCTTGATTTATGACACTCTTGGAAACCCAGTGTACCAGGCTAGAGCTGTTGTGCAATCGCTCACCAATGACAGTGTACCGTTACCAAGCACTCCATCTGCCCAAGGTTCTCCTCCTGCGTGGAAAACAAGTTTACCAGCTACCTGGCACCCCATGTCACCGATGGTCGTGCAACCGTTGACCCCATTTCATTATCCAATGATCTTTGGCTACCAGGGGATGCCTTCAGCAAACTTTGGTTACCCAGTGAACGTTGGGTGCCATGCACTGTACCAAATGGCCTATGGACACGTACAAATGCCGAGCCTTACATTCTAAGACTGCTGTTTGACAAAAACCTTTGTTTCGTTTTGTAAAAAAAAAACAAAAAGACCAAAAAACAAAAACAATTAGATTTCTTATTCTCGCTCTCGACACAGTCAGAAATAAGTAGAACTTTAAGGAGGGTGAGCCCTCAGGATAGGAAATGTTGCCAGAACACTGAATGGCTGCAGCCTTTATGGATTATTGGTACCAATGTAACTACGTAGAAGCTGAAATGAGTCAAAGAAGAAAGAATCCTTTAAGTCAGTTTCATTGTGTGGGAAACGTGAACTATTTTGTAGCATTTCCTTAGGAGAATTGTCCGTCTAGTTTACTGTCGTGATTTTTCTTTCACATTTTCATTACGTGTCAGGGACGACACTTTTCCTCGGAGGGGATGTATGTTACATATAGAGATTGTACTGAAAAAAAAAAAACAACGGGAAGCGGAAACGAGTCTTGTGTATGACGTAGCTCATCCGGGTTATGAGGAGAGAGCGCGAGCTGAACGAGTGACGAGGGAGAAAGAAACGGAATAAAAACGCGAAGCATGTGAAGTGTAAAGACGTTTTACGGTTTATTTGTGGACTCATGATACAAGGGTAACACATTTCTCAAACAAAACGGCAATAAACAAACCAGCCATGAATTACAGAAGAATCTTGATAGCAGAAAAGTCAAAAACATGTAAAAGCCGGTTGGATTTTCGCGTCCGAGGTCAGTTGGATATCAAAATTTTAAAAGTGCGGCTCATTAACACGACTTATTTCATGTGCATTTTACCAAAATGGAACTCGAGCCTGCAATAATTCGAAAAGTAGCAACTTGTCAGCAGATAACTTAGTGAGTCGCTACCTGAGCCCGCGATACGGTCAGGCGATACTGGTCAGCGGATTCACTGTTTTGGCAGCTGTCAATTGATCAAAACATAGATGTAGAATATCAGGTTGCAGGCTCCCAAACTAGCTAGCAAGTGTGAAATTAAACATTGGTATGCCGGTGGTGTGGACGGACGGAAGGTCGGGCGGTCGATGTACCGTCATGTGATTGCCAAATTTTCAAGGATGGATAGATTTTCTAAGCTACGAGGCTGCGCTCAAAATACAGAATTGAGCCTGTGATCAAATAAGATATCAACGGAAAACTTAAAAATACGTGACCTCGATCAATGGGTAGAAAAATAAGCCCGCGATACAGTCAGGTGATGATGGTTTCTAGTTAGTCTCTAGTTTGACAGCTGTCAATTAACCTTCGTTAGAATGGTGAATATTCGTATTAACGGACAGTCAACTACGAGTGTAAGACATTTCAGTCCGGTTTGTAGTGGGGCCGAAATGCCAGATCGTGCACCTGAGCGGACCTGAGGCCACGTTATTAGTCTTCTGATAGTGCACATGTCCCATTTTGACAGCTGTCAATTGACCTTAATCTGGCTCGCGCATATAGTTTCGTTTTTATGTTGAATTGGTAGGTGTGACATATTATAGTAGCTTATGTATAGGGGGCAAAACGACTGGACTTTCACCTGAGCCCGCGAGATGGTGATGTGATAATTGTCAGCTGATGTCTGATTTTGACAGAGTTCAATCTAATCATACTCATGCGGATAAGTAACATAACTGACAAGCTAGCGTCAAGTTGTGCAAGAACTATTGTGACATTTGACATCAGCTTACATGGAGTGTGTGTACGGGTGGGCGTACGCTACGTCATGACCAAATTTTCTCGGATGGATAGTTTACCAAATTTTGTTACCCATGGTGCTCCGCTGTGCGCGCCTCGCGCGCGAGAACTCCGCTAGTAATTTCAGGCACCCTAGTAATCCCAGTCACCCTAATCATTCCAGTTGTCCAAGTCATCCGACTCAGTCATCCAGGTCACCTTGAGTCATCCCAATCCCCTTAGTCATGTTAGGGGATCGTTGACTTGAAAGCATGATTGCTTCAAATTCACCTCACGCTAAACTGACCGTTTCTGCGATAACACAAATATTTGATGATAATTAACTCAAGATGATAACAGACTGTAATAGCGGAGCTCCCGAGCTCACGAAGCGCGCGTGACGGAGCCCCATTGCTAAGATAAATTGGTAACCTATGAAAGCAAGAAAGTTTGGTTATGACGTAGCGTGCGAACGCCGACCGTCTGTATACCCTCTTTATGTAAGCCGATGACAAATGTCCGGTTATTCTCGCGGGAAAGCGTATGGCCACCAGCGTCTGGTGAAGCAGAGGCCACTAAAGAGTCAATAAAGACGAAAACGGAAAGCGGAAAATGTTTCTGTATCCTTGTTGTCTAAAGCATTAAGTTTATATTGTCAAGTCCACAAATTTGAAAAATAGAGAAAGAGAAAGACAGAGAAAAAGAGAAGTAAGGCGACAGGCCAGCCAAGCTCAACGAGAAAAAGAGCTAGAGCGAGATAGAAAAAACGAAGGAGACATTTTTGTTGGAGAAACAACATAAAATTTTGTAGCGGCGGTGAGAAAATGAGAAATGCCGGAAGCCACCAGGGTGAAAATGAGCGACAGTGAAAAAAAAGTGAACAAGAACACGTACGACATTTCCTCCAAAAAACTTGTAACTAGGACGTTTCTGGAAGTTTCAAGTTGTAGTCGTGCAAAACAACGGCAAAGAAATGTACAAAAAAGTGTGCTGCACGTGTAAAGTTGCCTTTTTGCTAATTAGACCTATTGTTGTTTTTTCACCGTTCTCGTTGCTTTCGCCGCCTAGCATTACATATTATCGAGAGCTTCGCTTTTAGCCCTAGCTAAATCTATTTAATATATAGTAAAACAGTGGATAGTGTTTTTCGTGCGCTCTGATTGGCTACTCAATCAGTGAATATCCTGCACTATTCACTGATTCACCTACAGTTCCTCCCAGCGAACGACGCCAAACTCGCTAAGTTGCAAGCAAAATGCCTTCTCGGTTGGCTCCCGTAACAAACAAAGAAATTTCACAAATAATCAAGAAAGCTGTTCCCGAAATAAACGAACAAGGTGACAAAGTCCGGTTTGGAAGTTTTGACAGGTCAACCTTTGTCTTTTTGACTTGAATTTATAGATGAAACCGGTGAAAAAGATTTTTGTTTATAAACGCAAATTAAGCTTAAGTCTTAGGTTACTTTATTTAGTTGACTTGTTCATAAATAAGCTTAAAACTAAATTTAATAATCTTTCTTACTGAATGATTTTAAATACAAAAAGAATTCACAACTCTTTTTGAAGAAATTTCCCCGCAACAGCTAAACAAATGTCTTCAAAAGTTTTATTTGTCGGCAAGAAAAAGCAACGACCGCGGCCGTCGGTCATTGGGCGCCAATATTGTAATCGTTGGCAACAGCAAATGAGTTAAAAATCATCCTTTTTGTGCTTAATTATCTCACTGTTTTAGTAGATACTAAAACAATTATTCACTTGAGTGTCGGTGGCTAGTGGTGGGTATTAACTTCGCTCCCTCGCGTCTCGGTATCAACGTTTAAATTGGCTGCCACCGAGGACTATTGTGTCTTTACGGCCTTTATAGCATAAAATTATATTTCGGGACTGTCAAATTATCCTAATTAAATAAAGGTGGTGTAGGTGGGCAAAAAAGGTCATTTTGTTTGGGAGGAATTTCTACGCCTAATCTACTGTGGCCAAAGGTGATTTCTATTTATTAGGTTTACAAATAAGACTATTAACTGATGTAAGATTTTAGATTTTGTTTCATTCTTGCACTGTTTGCAAATTATTTTTCCTCTAAAGTCACCCAGCCCCACCCTTAAAAGTCGTATGGATCTCTCCAATTAACCGATGTGTGGATTACAAGTTTACTGTTTGTTTTAAATTACAAATTTATTAATTGGAGCTACGCTTTTAGCCCTGGCTAAAACTGTATACTGTTATAACTGACTGCCTATCTCATTATTACATTTAAGGCAGTTCCTGCGCTGCACCCGATTATTTAAGTTTAAGCAATAGAAAACGTTTCCCGTGTTTGCATAGCCTGATATAAACACGAGAGGGGTTGGGAGAATTCGAGACGGTTATGCAAACCCAAGACGAAGTCGAGGGTTTGCATAACTGTCGAGAATTCTCGCAACCCCTCATATGGTGACTTCAGAGAAAATCTGTGTAAAAATCGCTTCGCTTATATTATAGCCGAATAAATACTGCATGTTTATTAGGATATGCATCTTTTCTTTTTTACCTAATATTTATAATTGTAAAGCGCATTTGATCATATGCATATGTAAATTTGCGCCGTAGAAATATTAAATATTATTATTATTCCTAACTACAAACAAAATAGGTACAAAATATAAAAAATAAAAACTGTCTTTCATGTAGGCCGTGTTTTAATAAGCATACTTAAAACTTTACTTAAAACTGCGGCGATTTAAAATTTGACCTTAAAATAGTTTAAGGAGGTCGCTTGTCG